AACGATCTACTATGGTTTTGGTTTGTATTTAAACTTAATCAAATATATAATTTATTTTTATATAAATGTAGGTTTATATCAATATTTGAAATTAATGAGGCAGCGAATAAGTCTACTATTCATGTGATGGTAGATTTATTTGCGATTGGTAGATTTATGAAGTGGTTGGTAGACTTATTGATGGTTCGTGCAATGGTAGACTTATTTATAGTAGTGGTAGATTTATAATATGTGGTAGACTTATTTCTCGTAGTTGTATTGTTAATTTTGTGATCGGTAGACTTATTTCTAGTTTATAATAAGTCAGGAGATGTCATTCACAAATCAAGACAGATTAGTTATACTTTAAATTGTATTAATCCATATAGCATTTTTTAAATCGTAACTTGTACTATCCAAGAGAGTTTTTCCGCAAGATGTGTCATGTTGTAAGAAAACAGCAAAGAGCAAACCAAATTAATTTCGTTTCTCTTGTATAATTGTCGTAGATTTACTGTATGTATGATGCTTGTCATAACTTCTAATATATAGAGAACAATTTCACAAGTATAAAGTGATAATAAAAGCACACGAAAGAAATTCAAAGGAGATAGAACAAAACTTAAAAACTATTTACCCTAAATTTATCATTAATTAGAAGACAACATAAGTTTTTGAATAGTAATATACCTTTACCAGAAACAGACCATAAAGTCAAGACCAACTTTTGAATCGATGAAGAGAGATTGTTTTGGTTATTACAGAGATGGAGCTTTCATGCACACATACACATGTGTTCATGTTCGTGCTTAAAATAACATAGTTCGTCGAAGATATTAGACTATCTACACACCTGAATGGAACTCTGGAGACTTCATATATAATGTGCAAGGGTGTTTTTCCTATACACACTTCACAATTGCTTTAGTGAGGAAGGGGATGTGTGAACTTCACCTTTCACACTAAAAGGTATTCCATTTTAGCATCAGTGATTGACTTTCTATCTATCACCCTAACAAAAAAATTTCGTTTATGATCCAGTTTGTCCAACCACATCCATTTTTCGAAGATATTCAACTGTTTTTAGAAGGATCAGTTGTGCTTCATGAACCATTTTCTTAAATTAA